AGTTCTGGCCTATAAATATATAAACTATTACTTCAGTGAAGGTTTGTTCATTTCAATCAGGTTTGTTCACTGGATAAATACATATCTGCTTCTATTTCTTAGGCACAAAAAAAGCCAAAAATGAACAAAATAGAGGAAAACTGCCCTTCCTTCTTGGCCTTATATTAATTTTAGGAGTTCTATAGTAAACAGGAATATCACATGATAGACTGTACTTTAGATAGAGTCTAACACAAAGAAAGAAAAAGAAAATTGAAAAAGAGGTAATCAAGAGAAACGAGTATTGAAAATTGATATTTGAGCAAAATATTTAAGGGATGGTGGAGTAAAATAGTTATGCAAATAACTGAAATAAAATGTTTTAGGTAGAGAAGACAAAAATTACAAAGTCTTGATGTGGGGCACAGATGTCCTTCATTGTCTACTACTTTACAAGTAAAATTAAGCAAAGTTCAACAAGTAAATGAAAAAGTGCAAGGGAGCCAATGCAGCTGTACTAGAATGAGCAAAGAAAAGACCAAGTGGGGAGTTTGAAGAGTTTAGATTCCCTGAGACTTGGAGGATTTGGGCTTTTATTTGAGCTAAATAAAAAGACATTGAGAATAGGGGCAGAGGTATAAATGACCTACCTTATATGTTAACTTTGTTTTTGCAAGTAAGTTGATAGAAACTAGGAAGACCATTTGAGAAGCTTTTATTACAATAACTCAGAAGGAGATAATGGGTCTCGGGCCCAGGGTGGAATACTGGTTGTAGTGGCAAGTGGCCAGACTCTGGAAGTTTAGGAAACAAGAAAAAGAATAATTACAAAAAGTGAACTGTAAATTTTAAGATAAGTAAAGAGAAGTAAGTAAGTAATTTTAAGCTAAGCATGATGAAAAGCAATAAGAAATTCCTATAATTAAGGTTGAAGGTGGAAGGTATTTTTAGAATTGAGCACTTAAATAAGCAAGATAAAATATAGTAACCTTACATGATAGAAATTGAAATTATAGAAAAGTTACACATGCTGAAAATATAAAAATTTATAATAAACTTGGGGTCTAAGTTAATGAAAAAGGGTGAAAATTGAGATCATTAGAAGACAAAATGTCTAGAAATTTTGAGGAAAACATGTTGGAAGTATCATCTAAAATCACCAAGAATTATAACTGGAGTAATATTGAAAAAAGTTACATTGACCAGGGAGCCATCGTATTTAAAAAATAAGGAGAATTTACCCAGGTTGTGGATTAACATTACAAAATAGAACCTGATACTTGAGTGTTAATGTGTTCTTAGGTGCTGACATCAGAATTCATTCTAGTTAGTTTTAAAAAGAAGGTATTTTTAGGGGACAGTAAACATTATTGCCTAAAATTCCACAAACTCTGAAACCTGGAGCTTTCTGGACCAAATTCCAATATGTCACCACAAAGCTATTAAGGGGACTGTTTCCCTTATCTGTATAAAAATCAGAAGTTCTTTGCCACTTCCATTGAGCAGTCCATTCTTCACCTAATGTATATCCTAATAATGTTCACATCTTGCAAGTGTATAGTAGAAACTATGTGGCATAAAATGCTGAAAATTGTAAATTTTTGTTCTTTATGTTGGGCAGGCAGGTGGAACTTTCAGTGTGAGGAATAAATGTAAAGAGTGTGATCAAAAGATTTAAGAAGCATCTAATAACAGTTATCCTTTATAGCTTCATATCTCATTGTGCTTATTCCCTGGAGGTAAAGAAGCACTGTATCATGCAATGTTAGATGCTCAAATATTTATTGAATTGCTATACAAACCCACACAGCTCTATCTACAGTGTGGGAAAACAATTTTCTTATTATATAAATATAAATGTATATTATATGTAAAATAAAGATTGTGTCCATGTTACTGTGTCATGTAGCTGAAACATATATGTACATAACAATATTGATTAGTCTAAGGTCTTATGAAATAATTAACCATAGCTGCAGGTTTAATTTTAAAATAGACCAGGAGGTACACAAGGTATTTGATTTAAATTATTCATTAAGAAAAATTTAGCACATGTGCATTAAATCTGTATAGGTGTCAAGAATGAAGTTGATACCCAATTACAGAGAGGGTCAAAAGGATAGAGGCAGACACTGGTTACTCTCACAGGACTTATATTCCTATGAACAAGTAGAATTAAATTTAATAAAACTATTTAAAAGTATGTATCATGATATATTATGAAGAAAAAAATTTAAAAGACTGAAAGAGAATTGTGGCGTAAGGAAAGAGAAGTTAGGAAAGTCTACTTTATGCAGAATCATGACCAGACACCTTATTAAGAGAGTGATATTTAAACTAAGGATCAATGAGAAAAAACTAGCTAGATGAGAAGCCAAAAAAAATAGTAGTCCAGGCAGAGAATAGAACATATGCAAATTCTGTGTACTGAGGAACTGAAGTTAGACTGATACGACTGGAGCACAATTTGCCAGGGAAAGACTGACACCAGATGATGACAGAAAAAGAAGCAAGGTGAAATTCAGGCAAATCCCATCACCTACATGAAATTGCTTGTATTTAACCAATGTACAAATGTGCCTTTATATTTCAAGAGTACAATACCATAAATATAATCACAGATAAATAAATAAAAGAACACTCTCTGCACATATTTTGTCATCTTCACACTGAAAAATGATGATAGACTGAGATTATATGTTCTCTGATATGCTTGAGACAAGAAGTGTTTTAGATTTCAGGAGTTTTTTGGATTTTGGAATATTTGCATGGATTTTCTACATCCCTAACCCAAACATCCAAAATCCAAAGTGAGCACTGCCAAACCTTCAGATTTCAGTGTATTTTCGATTATAAGATTTTTGATTAGAGATGCTCAACCTATAACATTATTTTGACTCTTAGATACAAATTTTATTTATTAATGTGTGTTTACAATCCAAGATACTTGTGTTTTTTGGGCCAGTAACAAGATAAAGATGTTTTAACACACTGAATCATAATTACTTGACAATGAATGTAGAAAAATTAACTTATAAAGCACTAAGAAATATGATACTGGTATGTGATACTGGTTTGTAACACTGAATTCAACAGTGGTATTTTCAAAGACAACATTTTCCATAGCAGTTTATGAAGAAAAAGAAAACTGTTTCATTTTCTCCCATCTTATGTCTACATTTTCCTCTTTTACCTATTCAATTTTACTTCATTTTCACATTCACTTTGCAGAGCATTTTCCTCTTACCCCACATTTTTTTGCTATTCTTCTGCAAGTATACCCTATGAGAAATTGTCAGTTTTATAAAGTTCTTCATTACTAAACTTATATTAACTGATAATAACACAGAAGATTGTTTTTCTTCTCATATGTCAATACTCTTTAGCATCAATATTCTCTTTTAAAATGAAAACAACTGTGAAACTCCAATTAGTAAAGCATTGGAAAGCAGACTTTGTCTGACAGTATTGGAGCACACAGACTGGAACAACTTGGAAACTCTTCTAGGGGCTCTTCACTCCCTCTGCTCCTGGCCCCAGAGACTAACTTGGGTGTGTGTTCCAACATGGACAGCTTCTGTCCTTCACTTCCTTTTCCCAAAATGACCATGAGGAATGTCAGTTACTATATTGCACTTGGTTTCATATATTTTTCTCTGTAAGATGAGGGTTAATTGTGAATAAAATCTTACTATTATCACTGCAATTTAAGTCACCATTTTGATGATAATGCTCATTTCTCTAACTCAAAATTTTAAATGATCAAATGTAAGTGAAATAAATTTTGACTTTTAATATTATTCTGTAAAAAGCCACTGTGAACTATGTATTTAAGAGGAAATAGTCTTCAATAATTATATCAGAACATACATATTTTATCAAGCATTCTGAACTTGCTGAAAGAATTCATGTTTACATTATATTTTTAATTTCAATAATTTGTTATATGATTGAAATGCAATGTATCTTTAATGTATTTTATGAGCCTGGTTTACACAGATTTCTGCTTCTATGTTATTTTTGTTGTATAACCTGAGGCTATAATTGGGTTTGTAAGCCTGAAATATTTTAAGGTAGAGATCATGCACAAGATGTAATCAAAATATAGGGTGAATACTTAAACTTTAAAAAATTATTACAGTGAGAGAGACATGGCTATTAATCCCTTCAAAGTATTCCACCTTACTTCAAACACACTAATCCCACAGCTATTGCTACTTTCTGAAGTAGTTCTGGAGCTTCTCTTTCATGAATGTCTTTACATAGTAAGGTTAAAAAAAAAAAAGATGAATGCTGCTACTGATAGCATCCAACAGAAAGGCAGGCTCATAAAAACATCACACCTTATTAAAACATCATCCACTTTATTTAGCGAATCTGGTCCCATGAGATTTTTGGCTCTTCTCCAAAGTGAAAATGACCATGAAGCATTTTGAATGAATTCAGTACACTGAGGCAAGGACAACAGCAGAACTCAAGACACTCACTGAGAGGGCTACCAGAACTTCTTCAGAAAGTGACCAGAAACATGGGATGAGGGTGCTTAAAGCAGGAGGAATATTTTGAGGGGGGTTAATGGTAAGACCTTTTATTGTAATAAATCATTTTCTAAGCAATAGATTTATTGGTACAAATTTGAGATGTACACAAGGATAGCATGCATCATAGAGAATTTGTACCTGTGCATAATCTATCTTGCTTCTTCTTTTTTTCCCATTCCCCACCCTGCTTTTGACCCCTCTTCCCCTCCTTATATCCAAAAGCTTTGTTCCCATTTTTTCTTTCTATTTTCTTTTTTTTTCTTCTTGTCCTGTCCTTACCCTCTCCCTCCTCCCTTGTTCCACTTCTCATTTTAACATTTTCTTCCCATTTCCCAATATCCATTATACATTTTGGTCCTTACAGTAAAAAGTGGAAATATTGCAATAAAGCTTTTAAATTTAAATATTCACCATATTTTTCTGTCACACTTCCTACTGGTGGCCTGTATCCATGATTGCATTTTCTGTTAAATCCCATAGCTGTTACTGGAACATTTGGAGTGCCTTGTGTCACGTCATGAAAGGTCATTAAGAATGACAGTGGTAAAACGGCAAGCCCAGTCCCCCTCGGGAGTATCTAGTGAAGTTGAAGTTCTCAAGGCACTGAAATCTTTGTTTGAGCACCACAAAGCCTTGGATGAAAAGGTATAGTATGGAAAAAATTTTCAAGATAACTTAGACTTTTTTCATTAGCATGAAGGTCTTTGTCTTCAACCACTGATTCACCTGACTCCTCGAGTATGTTAGTTCAGAGAAATATATTTAAGTTTTATGAAAAAAATCACTTTTAAAAATGAAAATGGAATATTGTACATATATTGTTAATGCTCATGACCACATTCTATTTTTATATCACTAAATCTATCACTTATCCAAATTTGATCTCTATTATGTTATGTTATGGCTCTAGTACAGATGGCCATTTGAAATTTATTATCATTTAAAATCATTCACTTCTCTCTCTCTCTCTCTTTCTCTCCATCTCCCCTAAGCCTTCACTCTGTCTCTGAAATGCATGTCATAGATGCCAAAATAGGAGACCACTAACTGAAAATTATACCTGTTTTAAAGTGAAAATTGGGTGTACTTTGACTTTTAGACATTTGTATTAGAAGCATTCTGATTTTTAGGTCTCTAATATCTTGGTTTCAAATATACATTTAAAGAGTCTCTGCATGAAACAGAATAAATTATTGGAAGAAAAATTTGCTTTTAGGTCTTTATAAATTTAGCTGTAAGCTTCTGTTAGTTGCTAGTCAAATAAATTCTACTGGCATGTATAAGCCAACAGATGATAGCATCCTTTGGAGATTAGTAAGGTTTATGACATGATTTCAATTTTGTGAATTTTCAAGGAATGAACTTTGCAAATTAATAAATCTTTAGGATTTAGTACAGCAGGAATTGGGGCACTTCATTATAAAATTTATGACAAATTCTGAGCATTAAAATTCAAACTAGGGATTATTGTCTATTTATATCTAATTTTTGAGCATGTAGAGATTTTTGTTTTGTTTAATATTTATATACTTATGTATTTTATCATCAGCCTTTCAGAGGTTCATAGAGCAGATGATAGGAAGTGTGTGTATAAGGATAACTATAATTCTGTCATCTAGATTATTAAGAAAGAATTGCATGTAATTTTTTCACTTTTTCCTTGAGATGCAAGTACTTTATAAATACTTTTGAGTGAAAATTGTTATTGTATAAACTAAAAATCCATGCTAAATATAATGGCAAATGATCACTTAAGTTTTAGTTTCTATTATATTCCTTCCTTTATCACAAAAGCTCATTGGTAAAATTTTCCAAGACCTCATAGAAAATTTCTTTCATATTCAACTCATGGTCTGAGGACTTCCTAGTTAGTACTGGATATTCATTTATCTATAACAGGCAATGCTGAAATAATAAGTGGACAGTGTAACCTAGACTCACAAAAGAAGTAGTGAGCAATTCCACTTGAGTGACAAGAAAGTGAAGAATGTTTTAAAGATGGAGTAACAGTTGATCTGAGTATTAAAAACTGAGTAAGCAGAGAAAGATATTTTAAGTAGAAAGTCCAACATAAAATAACTCAGGCCTATAAGCCACAGTCTGAACAGTTCTGAATAAATAAATAAAGGCACTGGAATATGTGAATCTGGATGTTCCCAGTAAACCCTCTGACATAACTTATGTGAGGGATGCTTTTATAAAGGAGTGATTATTTACCAAAATGTGAGGGTAATGATCAGTGTCTAAGTCGTGAGTACCATTTGAGAAGAAATAATTGTTGCACAACTTAGATTCTAAAAAAATTCCCTATATAGAAATTCTGTGGGCTAACCATGACTAAATGAAATGTTCTCTCAAATGGTTCTCAGAGATATGACAGTAGTTTTTTATTAACTCACCAAAACTGTCCTATCCATAGGTGAGTTTGGGGGCAACTGAATTGATTACGAAGTGAGTAATGCTCAACAACTTAAAGGGAAATATCATGAGCTTGAACTCTGGAGTAGACACATTTGAATAGGTGAATTAACTTCTCTATGTGTCTATTTCCTCTTCGTTTGGATGAGGATTGTAATAGGACTTACATCAGAGTTGTCAAGAGGATTAGATGTGATCAAACACACTAGCCAGGGTTTTTCATATGAAAAGTCCTCAACTAATGTTAACAAACAGAATTATCAGCATTTGGTATGAGTAAATTTTTTCATTTGCTAAACTTTCAAACTATGTAAAGATGTTGGCATCACTGTTGACCCAGACTTGGTTTAAACAGCATTTCATTTAGTAGTTGAGAGAAGATGTACCTAGGTGCCTTATAGACAATTTCCCTAATAAAGAGTAGACCACAACTTCCTGTGGGGATAGGGAAAAATGAAGATATTAATATATAAACAAGTAAATATGCATTCTAAACTAAGTTCCATAGATATTATGTCAAAATATAACAATTTAAAATATAAAAAGACAGAAGGTAAGAAGATGTACTAGGGCATAAAAAAGAACTATCAACTTTAGTACAGACTGTTTAGTACATGAATAACTGAATAAGCTATAAAGATTGAGCACAGTTGTGGACATTTATAGTGACTCACAAATATCTGTATTGTCCACTTGTTCATACAGCCAATGAATTGCAGGAAGTAATTTTCACCATTAGCTAAGACCAAGAGTAATTTTGATATCACCTTCAACATAATTGTGGCTTTCATGGGCTGGAGGCAATGAAAAATACCCATGTGTTTTGCAATTACTCAGAAAGCACTGGCTGTTTTTAAAAAGCAGATATATTGGGCATGCATGGTAAGTGTAACTCAAAAAAGATTAAATATATATTCCTTCCAATTACTGTACATTTTCAGGATCAAATATCACAGTGTCAAAATTGGATTTGAACTTCTAATTTAAGCATATTTCTTCACAAAAGTTTTGTGTTATAGGATTGCAAATTCTCAGAATGATACCCTGCCATATCCTAAATTCAGTTTGGAGTGTGTGCTTCCACCATAAGAATCTTTCTTCAATAAGTGAGGCATGTAGAACTCCACCCAGCCACAAACAAAAAAAATATACACCTAGACATATAATAGTCAAGATCCCAGAAACCCAACAGAAGAACAAAATTCTACAGGCAGTTAGAGAA